GACATGAAACTTGTGAGTAGTTCTGGTGATGAAATATTGAATAGTGATTGTGCCAATATTCTCAACACTGTATTTTCTGACGCTTTCACTGTATCTACACCCATCGTTCAGACTCCCCTGGTTCCAACAACAAAGGTTTTCCCTGTGGATCATATTCTTGTAGACTTTGACGGTATAGTAAGCGTTATAGAATCCCTTAAAATGTCTTCTTCATGTAGTATAGATGATATCAACGATAAACTTCTAACCAACACCAAAATCGCATTAGCACTTTTCCTTACCTAACTTTTTCAGCAGTCTATGGGGACTGGTGTGGTACCCTCCGATAGGAAATTTTTAAAGCTTATTCCAGTCCACAAACCTGGAAGTAAAACCTCTCCACGAAACTACAGACCAATCTCACTTACCTATATTTCCCGCCAAAATTCTCGACCACGTCATCTCTACAAGCATCGGATCAGTTTCCTAGATTCTTGCGATTACTTCAACCACGCACAGCACGGCTTCCGCAAACTACTTTCATGTGAGACTCAGCTGCTGTTTGTTACTAGCGACCTTCTTCAAAATCTCGACTCCGGCTTTCCTACTATTGCGGTCTTCCTTGATTTCGCCAAGGCTTTCGGCAAGGTCCCTCACAATCGCCCTTCTGTTCAAACTCTCTTCCTTAAAATCAGACCCTCTCGTTCTAAAACGAATCAAAACTTTTCTTAGCTACGTTCTCAATTTGTTTTCGCTAACGACTCACCTTCCTCCTTAGCTCCAGTCTCCTTCGGGGTCTCCTTTAGGCTCCGTGCTTAACCCTTTACTCTTCCGAATCTATATTAATGACCTTCCACCTCAACTTTCTTCTTAGATTCGCCTTTTTTGAGGATGACTGCGCTACATATAGACTAATAAAACCTCCCGACGACCACGTGCTACTCCAGAGCGACATTAACAAAATTGCCGACTGATGCCTTACTTGACAAATGTCCCTAAATATTAATAAATGCATGCATGTATTTTTCACGTGCTCGTCCTCCCCCCACGTAACAACATTAACACTAAATGATACCGTCCTCCAGACCACTACCGAATAAAAATATCTTGGGTGTTTATTTAACTAATAATTTATCCTGGAATATTCATGTTGATAAGATCATATCATCACCTAATCGCTCTCTTGGTTATATTCGGCGTTATTTCAAGTCTGCTCCTTCTAATCTCAAAAGACTTATCTATATTACTCATGTTCACCCTAAACTAGAATACGCCTCATCCATCCCTTAGCAAAAAGAGGCCGTACTTGAACGAAGTTGAAATATATTGAATATGTAAATTCATTTTGTATTCATTCTGTAATATTTTGTCCACATTCAAAATACGCGCGTAAGGTATTCAAATATATCATAAATATTAATCAGAAAATATTTTAGATATACCAAAAATAGAATTCCTCACCCCTCAAGATGCCATTTGTGTATTAAAAACCGGCTACAATTTTTTTTTATTTTGTTAGTAAATGGTGTCCCTGTGGTATTTGAAGGCAGTACTAAATACACCGCACAACTACACTTTAGACATGAACACAAACACCATGACGCACTGAACACCTGAACCACAGTCCCGTTGATTGCTCTAGAGTCTTATATAGCCAGCATATTGAAGGTAATCATTTGGCCGGTGACCATCTCTGCACTTATTAAGGTTCCAAGTATTCAATCTTCACCTCAGGAGTTTGTCAAAGGGGAAACAGTGTTTGGAAGTTCGAAGTTCGTGGACGACATCTCTTACTCAAAAGCATTGGTACAACTAATACAACTAATAATAATCCGGCGCCGTCGCTAAAACAATATCCACAAAAACGGCTCCTAGAAGAAATGTTGTTGCTTCTCTGCATAGCACCACGCAGGACGAAGCGAGTCAAGGCAGTTTCATCACTTCAAAAATAGTTATTTTGCTTTTCTTTACCAGTTGACTATTTAATATGGTCATTAACGTCACTATATTAAAGTCACTACTCACATCACGTACAATGGTGGGTATACACATTCAGTGAACTAGCATTGTGCTAACACAGCCACGCTAAACATATCAGCTCACAGCACTTGCTGATGCTTTCCAGCATCAGCAAGTGTTTTGGTTGTAGTTCCCGAAGCCCGTTTGTGACTGGTGTGCAAGAAACTCATCAGGTGTGTTCTTGATAGAAAAAAAAGGAAACAATAACATAAACTGGGCTGATTTATCAGTGCGATGCTGCACAACGCAATTGACAAACTAATGAAATGTTGTATTTAGGCACTCCAGTTTACTCCACATCTGCTTGAAGTGAACTTTTAATAGGCAAGCTTTTCAATACTTTGGTAGTTTAAGTCAAACTACCAAAGTATTGCAGTCAAAATATACTTAGAGCATAACAAAACAGTATTTATGATTTCCATGTATTTTAAGAATATTTTGCAGATATTTTTGATCGACGCATTTTTATCAGTTTTGGAGTATATTTTGCATGAATTAAATACATATTTAAAAAAAAAATCTATGTGAAAGATATTTTGTGCCTACTAATTTAGTATTTACATATTTCAGAACGCATGAAGGGAGCTTCAAATGTAGTTGAAATAAAATAATTTAAAGATTTTCAGAAATATATTTTAGTACAAAGTTAAAAAAAAAAAAGAAAGAAGCGTATATTTGGTGTATTTTGTGTGTTTTTACAAATTATGAACTGTACTTCAAATACACTCAAATTAGAACGTGGTATATTTAAAACGTCTTAGTTTTCGTTAAGGGATCTGGCATCCCTACCTTTTATTTCTCACCAGTGCGATAGAAGCGGTCCAAAACCGCGCAATTCGTTTCATTCTTTCCGATTACACTCGTTTTTCCAGTGTAACTGAACTAAAATCTCAATTACCCTCCCTGGCCTTTCTCTGCGCCGCAAAATTCAGTTTTTTTTTTCTCCTGCATAGAGTGTATCACTTTCCCTCTTTAAATCATCAGTCTCCCCTTAGCTCACCCAGCTATGTTTCTTCGAGACTGGGCCACACATGCAAGATTGCCCGACCCAAGACCACATCTACAGCCCACCAGCATTCACTTCTACCCAAAACTGTTGTGGACTTGAATGGCCTTCCCGATAGCATCGTCACTATCACAGATAACAGCAAGTTTCGCCTCGAACTAGACCACCACTTTCCTCTGTAATGCCCCTCGGGGCCCCGAGGGTATTTGTAAATAAATAATAAATAAATAAATAAATGTATACTACTTAAGCGGCCTCGGCGAAATTACCGAGGTTCGTCACACCGTAAAACTTCGCGTGAGTAATGTGACACGAGGCGAATTACTCTGCGTGGGCGTCGCAGAATGGACGCTAAAGCCTGATTCGCATGATGAGATTCCGATCACAATTTTTATTCGCGACGTCGTTCGGGCGACAAAAGCGTGAACCGTAGCTGAGATGGTGGACGTCGATACTAAAAATCGCAAGCAGAATCAAACCAAGTGAATCAGGCATAACAAGTCCGTGATGTCCACTGGCAACAATGATAAACATCTTGTATTTACTGTTTTCACGGAGCCTACTTACCCAACCAACCTTCGAAGTTAAAAGCCCTTGGAGGCCTGCACTTCTTATCGAAGTAACCGGGCCAACGTTTCGTCCACGGGCCGCTGTTGTTTCAACGAGCAGACAACAAGCAGAAACATTTGAAAGAGCCACGGCCGCTGCAAGGAGATCCAGCGGCGGTGAAAGAGCAGACGAGAGTTGGGACGATCAGGCGGTCGTATGAACTTGAAGACGTACTCAACGTAGCCCGCAGGTAGTCCGTAAAATTTGACAATTTTCCCGCGTTCATGTTGGAACAAAACAAATAAATCTGATGAACACAAGTATTCGTGAATTCAACCCAAAGTGCTTCCCGCCCATGCGAACGTGACCCAACGGCGTCTGGTTTTCCTTTGTTACGGCCCCTGTCCACGTTCTCGGACGAACCGAGCAGGCAGAAAGCTCATGAAAACTGACCTTCAAACCTTTTTCGACCTTTTTGGTACAGCCCCTGTCATGGTGTTTTGACGAGAAGGCAGGTTTTTGTCTGGTTTTTTTCAAAACAACACAGGAATGCACGTCCCGCATGGTGACTTCCGCCCACAGCTCCAGACCGAAAGTGCACCGATGCACCACCACCGCGCCGTGACGAAGTAAAATTGGTGTGTATTGCGTTTCGGCTAGGGTAACATAAGGCACGGGAGTTTTTTTGTTTCCTTTTTTTTTTTTTTCACGTTAAAGGGCATTTCTTGCCTCAAGCCTCTGGTACTGGCCGGTGCCTCGCCGTCATTTTGGATCACGCTATTCTTTTCCGATTGCGTGCTGTAGGAGTACAACAAAGGGTCGTACCACCTTACAAAGAAGACCACTGAGGCAACCTCGTTAGACACGAGTGAGTGCGAATCCAAAGCTACAAGAGTAGGCCCTTCACTTGCACTTGCAAGCTACGCTCCTGCAGTGCAAGCGTTGTTAAAACAAAGCGATTTGTACCTGCTTGAGTACCTGTAGTTCAGACTTCGCTCGCACTCAGGGTAAAACTACAAACTACAGTGGCTTAAAGGGGGTGGTGTAGTTACCGCGTAGCCTCCACCATGCATCGGGAACGGCCACTCCTTGAGAGACGGTGTAGGTGGCGCTTCGATCCGCAGCTCCGTTAGGGTGCCTCCATCGGTCGGCAGAGAGGGGCACCCTAACACGCTTCATGACTAATATAAATACCTAAAAAACAATTATTTGTTTCCAGTGAACTTCCAAGGACATGGTTTGTGTTCTAAGGTGAATAAAAATGTGAAACTAGCAGACCACAGTGTAGTTGACAGCTGCGAATCGGCCTGAGCTGGCCGGAGCACTGTCCCTTTAAGCCACTGTAGTAAAACTACGTATAACAAAAACGTTCGCCACGCTAGCAGCAAACAATGTAACACACACACACAAAAAAAAACAATGTCAGTCACAGACAGGTTTCGGTATGTCGGGCGTAAACAAATAACAGCTTTATTTGTTTCATAATGGCGTAAAATCCCAGCTCTTTCGAAGGCTCTATCGGCGAATGCGCATGCCCAAAAACACCTACCAAGGCCGTCTGCGTGCTCTAGCGCAAGCAGCATTGATTGCACTGGGGTCGAGATGCGAGACTATTTTTTTTTCTCTCTCTCTTTCTCTCTCTCTCTCTCTTGCATCTATGGAAGCGATCACCGACTGTTCCCTTTCGAAAAATGGCGCATTCTTAGGAGAGAGTCCACCGCTGGATGTGTAGAGGATGAAACCATCCAAATGTCGTATGTACCGGGGGCCGCGAAGGCGGCAGACTCATGAGGACTAGGAGCATCTCTTCCCCGGTGGCTTTCACCGTGCCCCGAACTGCGCACGTGCGAATTCGCGGGGGGATTCCCCGGCGGAAAAGTCTGCCTCGCCTGAAATTGCGCCGAGAAGAGAGCGAAGGATGGGATGGATATTTGACGAACCTTCGGGACCTCCGGGTCCGGCCCATCTGGCAGCGGGGCAATGCTACCTGGAAGACAAGGCCCGAGCCTTTGCCCCCAAACGTCATCCCTTGTGGATTCACGTAGTGCCACCTAGCCTGCGCAAGCATCGCCGTCAGCACGTCTCGCAGCGGTTCACAACGAGCGCGGCGCTAGCACGTGGCCATGCCAAGACGAATGCGTCTGCTGCAACCCCCGTTAAGCTTCAGCGTGTTTTCTGCTTGGGGCGCGCCGGGGATCCACTAAGGATGACGTCATGGGTCGGCCTTGTCTTCTGGGTGGTATTGCGTTGAGGCCACGCGCGTCTCAAGACCGAAGCTTTGAATGATTCTGAAAGCCCATGAACGGAGGAGCCCCAGGAAGGGACAAAATAATCCTTCAGTAGATATTTTTTTTTTTTACCTTTAAGGAGTAAAGAGCACACCACGTCTGGTAGCGTCATGGCGAGAAATGGCCTTAAAGTTGGTTCTGTCCATACTAAAGCAGGTACAGTGCTGCCGTGAGAGACCCTTTCAGGGCAGAGAAACACCTCGAGCGCATTGAAATCTGAAAGGGGAGGGTGGCAACACGTTGCTTGGAATGTCGTCGAGTCTGAGACACACGCTCTAGTCCGTCCGCACCTTGTGGGAACGCTCCGAGCTGTACGAACAATGAACCCAATGTCAGAACTACACCCACATTCCGAAGAGTCCGAGCTCGTGGAAAGAAAACAAAGGTGAAGGGGAAAAAAAAACGTTTTCACGGGAAGAGACAGAAAGAATAATCGAGTTCAGAAAGTTCGCGTACAACATCACCTTCGGCGGCATTTTCAACTCTACATACAAGAGAACCGTCAGGCCGAGGTGGATATCACAGACATGAAGTGACTACTTGTTGTGTAGGTAGGTGCTTGCGAATGTTTTTGTTGCTTACATTATTTTCTTTTTAGCTGTTCTTCTCATGTTCCGTTGTGCACATTGGAATGCATAAATCTACGTTTCGACGGTACCGCGTCCATTTCCAGGCGACTGGTGACATAACAAGTCCAGCACTTCACGTAAGTACCGCTTTCTTCCGCAGTCCCTGAAACGCGCTAAGCGCGAGCCGCTGGCGTGCCGCTTTCCAGGGCAGACACGCCACAACGAACGGATCGCTCATTTTGATGCCATAGACGCTCGTGGACCACTGTTACCCTCGAGATATTCGCAGACACGCGCAAACAGACACACGCACACAGACACACACTGTCTGGTTTCTCTTCCACCACAGACTTGTGAAAAACACGACTGTCTCAGCAAAATAGTGGGGCCAGAGGCCTTATTTCTTTCTCTCTCTCCCTGCCTCCCTATCTCTCTCGTTCTTTCTTTTGTTTTCTCTCTCGTGACAACAAGACGCGCACTTCCCTGCAAAAATAAACGCATCTGAACGTCGCACCATGCTTGCTTGCTCCAGGTCTCTCTGTCATCCCTTGAACACACACACACACACACCGAGGTACCGTGACCGCACCGACGCTGAGCTCATGAGAAACACGATCTTCTCTTTTGGGGGTACGACGACACAGAGACCAGGAAGGAGCGAGGGAGTCGGTTGAGACGGAGGGGCGAGACGGTATCGTGACTACGATATCGTAACTATTGCGCGGGAACGAGCTGGGGTAAGGTAGTCAGTCCTAAGGCCCTCTCGGCCCGCAAGTGTGCACGTGTGCTCGATGCACTCACGAACCTTGTCCGAGCACGTGGTTGGGGCCGCGGGTGGCTGCCCCTTGTGAAGTGTTGGCAAGGCGGCTCGGGCGCCGCCCTTACACGACCGTTTCCACGTTGTCGACGTTCTCGGTCTCTTCGTCTTCCTCTTCGACGTCGCTCTCTTCGGGGATCTCTTCGAGCGGCGAGGCAAAGTCCTGGACGACTTCCAGCTTCTGAGCGGTGTTGCGGACGTACGGTATGAAGAAGGACATGATCCCAGAGACCACCATCATGGCACCGGATAGGAAGAAGGGCACGTCGTAGGACCCCGTGAAGTCGAACAAGCTTCCTGCGAGCAAACAATCGAGAGTTCGTCTTAGAACCAAGGAAGAGCAGAGAAGTCCCTCTAGCTTAGGCTAAGAAGGGGCACGCTTTATCTGTGCAACGTTTTAGAAAGATGTCCTTATAAGAAAAAAATAATAACTATTGGACATCATGCCGTACATGTGTGCTCTGTCAGTTCTACTACAGGAGGTATCCGAACTACGGAACTGTCAGACTTGGAGGTAATTTCCCCGCATACGCTATTCAGACGTGACTCTCATTCAGAAACTTTAATTTATTTATTCATTCCCTCAATCTTTCATTCCTTCACGTACTTGTCTATAGTTGACTGAAGGACATTAAGGAGACCCGTCGAATTAAAAACGCAGAGGGGGTATAATGGCGGGTGAGCCAATTAAAGAGGCGCTGTAAAAAGTTTTGTACTTTGCGTAAGTACCACGTGGAATGAATTCTTGACGTTTACAACGCATGAAAGGCGTATTAGATAATCTCCTTGTGCAATAATAATCGCAAAATAAGAAAAAAGCAGTGTTTTCCTCTCAATTCCCAGCCAAACCAAGCGGCCACACGATCCGGAGCCGATTATATTCCGCAAATATTGATCATAGCCACGCGCTGGGGTTGGCAAAGCACATGACACTCGCTGGGTTCCAGACATAGTTAGGGTTCGGCCATAGTCATCCTTGCAGCGATTGGACACGAGTCACTACCCGAATGCTTCTCGAGCTATCAATTATCGCGAGCCCAAATCGAGTGCTCACGCTATGCTCGGGTTCAAGCAGTGATCGGCATTAAAATATAGTCACTAAAGGGGGGGGGGGGGGGGGGAGGCATTGCGACCTCCGAATTGCGTCATCAAATTTCGCTAAGGACATATTAACAGAAAACGCTCGCTTTGATTCTTGGAATTACACCAAGACAAACGGGTCTCTTGGTCAATGAAGAGTTGCGTGCGAGCATACTTGCGACCCACCAGTGCCAGTAAGCTCGTGAAACAAATGAAACGTATACGCTTTCATTTGTCTGAGGCGTATAATGTTTCAACAAAGTAACGAAGAGCTGATCTTAAATTCACGTACAAACGTCTTAATCTAGAGCATATAAAGAGGGAAATTAACAACTCTTTTAACGCGATAGCGTTTAAGAGCTCGTGTCGTAAAGAATCCGACGTCGGCGTCTGTGGGATCGAAAAATCCCCTAATGCAACGCGCGCAGACATGTGTGACATAACACGTGGCTATGACGTCATCACCCTATCGATTTGCTAAACTTAGCAAAAACGTTTCCACTAAATTTACCGGAAAATGTTCCCGCAAAAGCTAGCGGAAAACTTTTCCGACAAACTTAGCGGAAATATTTCCCGCCAAATTTAGCGGAACATTTTCCCACCAAATTTAGCGGGAAAATTCCAACCAAAACACGTGACATCCTGTGACGTCACGCGACACGTGTCGCTACCGACTAGGCCACGCGTACACGCTTGCACGGGTTGGGAACGAGCGCAAAATTAAAATGAAACTCCGCCGATTTTTATTTTTTTTTAATCTTCGATTTAGCTGGAAATTGGCAGACCGCATCAATAAGCCTTTCTTAACTGATAGCCCAAATATTTGATAAAACAAAACAAAAATTCCGTCAAGTTATTGAATTTTTAAGTTACGCCGGTCGCGAGGTTTCCAGGAGGCAACTCTCTACTGGCAGCAATACAAAATCCCTACTTTTCCCTACCCGTGTGCGTCAACGGCGGGCAGGCGGATGAGCGACCCGGGCAGCCGCGAAGCGGCTTTCCGGGCTTCAGCGATCGAGATTATTTTTTTCACAGGTTCAAGGTTGAAAAATCCTTTGCAGTGGGTAGCAATCAGTGATGACAGTAATGATATTACTATAATGAAATTACAGTAATTATATTACTTCTTGTGGTAATATGTAATGTAAGGAATTACTTCTTTACGCTGGTAATTAGTAATGTAATGAATTACCTTTAGACAGCAATTTCGAGAAAATTACTCATTACTATTGAAATAACTTTTGCCCCAAAATAGAAAGTTCGTTTGCGAGCTTTTAAAATAAAATCTTCCAGCCTTTCCAGTCTGTTGAAGAAGGAAGACCAGCCAAGCTGTACTATGGTGGGAATGAAGTAATGGCCGGCCGCAAGTCGGCAAGCCAGAGTGGAAAGGCTGGAGAGGTTACGCCATCTATGAACGACGGCGGCAACCAGACAACCGGTAAGCCGGTTGTCTGGTTGCCGCCGTCGCTCATAGATGGCGGTGGCTGTCCAGAGTTTCATGTCATCATTTGTTTGCTGACGGACACGGTACTCGGGAAACTAGCCCTTAACAGCTCCGCTGTGAAAAGAGAATTATTTTGCATATTGAAATTTAGTGAAAGAGACATCGGAGCAAATAACCGACGGCCATCAGAGCGCAAAGCGTCGTACGAAGAAATCGACAGACGCACAAAGGCAGGCTGGAAAGGAGGAGCAAAGTTTACGTGTAAAGACATCGTTGGATGGCCACGGCTCACGAACTCCAGGCAAAACAGATTCACGGCGTCACGTAATCACGACGATAGTACGCTTCGTTCACCCGTAAGCTGACAGTGCGATGGGAGTACGAGCTCACCAGAACCAACCAACCCCTTTCCCTTGGTCACCTGACCCATCCCTTCCTCTGCGCGTGGGTATGAACGAAAGCGTGGTTACGTGGCGAAGGAGAGACTTGTGAATGTTCCAACGAGTACATAGCTTCCACCGCACTGTCAGCGTAGGGGTGAACAGCTCATAGGATACAAGGCGAAGGGCACATCACCATTGAGGTCAGCAGATTTTAAAAGCGGAGAGCATTTTAAAACCGGAGAGGACAAGGCAAACAGATCCCCAGCCTTCTTGCTTTTTCGTCAAGCAAGGTCACGCGGTAAGCTTCGACCATTGGGAACAACGAACGACCGGAAGTAATAGTTAATCCCAAATGCTTCGTCAAGGCCCCAGAACGTTTCGTGCGTATCCTTGGCCTTTCTAAGTGAAGGTGCTTTTTGTAGTCGAAAAAGACGGGAATCCAGCAAAGCTGGTGCCGCTCGCGGTATGCATCGCTGCCTTTCCTTGGGAAGTTTATTCGGTAATAAAATTTCGAGCAGATATCGCCACCCGTTTGTTGGGAAAGCACACACTTTAGGAAGCTCGAGCCACCCCTTTCCTCAACTGGCGACACTTCTTTTTGCATATGCAGCCCCCTTGTACGACAACGCGCAACTTGGGTTCTTCGGGTGTTTAGGAACAATATTCCTTAAAAGAAATGATCGGGAATAGGTCAACTAGTGCTCTTAGGAGAATAAGATATATTGCGTCTGAGGCGGAAGGAAAACGTTTCACCTGACGACTCCTTGTAAGCACTAGCTCTTATGGCCAACTTAACATACTGACAGGGACTACAACTTCTAAATCAGGAAGACCGAAACATATCACCCTTTAACTAAGGATCTTCACCGTTCAGTGAACAGCGAAACCGGTGAGTCGACTTTCTTTGAGTCCCAACTAGAGAAGAAGCTATTCATGATGTTTAACACTTAAGTCGTGTGCGCCCGCAGAACGACCGTTCAGTATGGTTCACTTTGAGCCATATAAGGCTGTTGCGGTGCAAACAGGAAGATCTGAGTTTTGGTTCATACACTGTAAATAAAATGAATACGAATTACTGACTCAAGGTATTGAAAAGTAATATCAAAGTATTTACTTTTGGAAAGTAATTGTAATGTCATTACTTTTGGTATGCGGTAATTTGTAATGTAATTAAATTACGTTTTCGCAGTTTAAAAAATAAATAGTAATGTAATTTAATTACTTTTAAATTTAATTTAATTTAATTACATTTAAAGTAACTTTGCCATCTCTGGTAGCAATCTCTGCTCCGCAATAGGTTGTAGAAACAGTGAAGGGGAAGGCCTAATTTTTACCCTTGTTTCCGTGGGAGAAAAGAAAATGCACTCCCTGTCAGCAATAGAGGCCAGCGACGTCAAAATGCTTCTGCGCGAGCTGTGTGCCGAGAGAACTAATTTCACATGAAACATTCTCACTTTTGCTCGGAATACTTTAGAGCCGGGTGCTGCGAGTTGAGCATACTTCTGCAGCTGTAACTAAAGTCACTAGATAGCTGGAACAGCTTCAACACCGGCAAGCGCAGACTCAAGGCGGCTGTGACTACTACGACATCCGTCTTAATTAGGAGCCCTAATAATATCGAAAAAAAATAGTGCACATTCTAGTATTATAGGCGACACTAGTCACATTGTTCCTAATAACAGCTTCAGTGATTTTTTTGTTTTCGTTTTGTTTCAGAAACATTATATTTGTTTTGGAAATCGTATCTAGCTCGGGGTACTCTCGGAGTTCCACTCATGCGGCCGATCTGTTGGAGACGTGAAGTCAAACGGCTAAACAAAGTTCATGTTTGAGCTTAGACATGACTTTCGACACACTGCTATTCGTGGCTGGTATTACAGAGTTTTGTGGAGCAGGTGTTGAGCTTCATTAATATACGACAGAGCCGTTGCCTGGTTTGTCAAAGGGTTGGCATGCAATTATTTCTCACAGAAGAGGTAGTAAAAAAGTCTTTATTTTATTCTATTGCGGAGAAATGTTATATAGGGCTAAGAAGATTTTAAATCTATGAAAATAATATTGTCTATGAGGGGAGGCATGTAAATTTACCCCTGATGAAGGCTGTGCACAAGCAAATTTTAATTAAAAAAAGTCTTATATAGAATTACCCCCACCCCTCATATAGAATTACACGAGACGAATGTTTCAGAACAATGCATTCTGCTTTGACATAAAAAAAAATGAAAACCATCTGGACAAATAGTTTGAGGAGTAACTATGGTTAACTTATTTTGAATTAAACATTTTATGGTGCATTTCTGTTTTCTACGCACTAGTGTTTTATGGGGACAAATACTCTTTAGTCTAAGATGAATAGTGTATTTGTGTATTTCATACGCCTTTCGTTGCAGCTTGATATTTGGTTTGGTGGTTGCGGGGTTCTTTTAATTTTATTTTAGCACAATCTTTATTAACAGTAACCTTCCATCTGGCCTACAGGAATGTAGTTCATTCGCTTCTATACATTTCAATGTTTAAAAAATCACAACCTACATCCGTTAGGTCACAGCTCAACACGCGCATGTTCAACGTTTTGGAAGGCGAGCAAAGTACATGCCACACGCACGAACGCTGAAAATGTCACCGACCAGAAGCGCTTGTCTGGAATGGTCTTCAGATATTTTGCTAACTTATTTAAGCACCAAAGGGCATATGCATGCTACATGCTGCATACTACACGTGCTGGCGTCTACTACAGTAACATTTGACAAGAAAAACTAAAACAAATGGCACATTACTTAAGACAAGCGTGTGGGGTACCTGTACCTACACTCCGAACATTCTACGTGGTGCTTGGGTGAATTGTCAAAATATGTATTGCGTGACTCTTCGATCTTTCTTTGCCAGCGTAACTGCTGGCTTCTGATAGAAGAACGGATTTGCTAGTTGTTTGTATCTCATCATAGCTCAGGAAGTAGGCCAAGGTCATACCTTGTGTAAATAGAGATTATCATCAACTTCATATAGCACAAACGCCCCTGTTTTCTCGCTGTAAGAGCCATTCAATTATGCCTTTCGATTAGTTCGCTTAAACGATCGGCGGCGTTCCCCTTTAATAAGAAGGCTTTCCGAACGAAGCCCTATAACGCTATTGCGTTCCACTCTTAAAGGTGAAGCTTAAGCGTTCCCCAAGTTTTATTTTACTGCGGTTCTTGAGGTAAAAATGGGAGCAGCAGTACTAAGGTGGTATATTTGAGTGCTCTAGCATACGAAACTAATTTACGCAATTTGTTTACAGTGCGTAAAATTTATTTAAGACAGTGGCTCTGTATTTCGTACACAGCCACTGCGACATAAGTTTAGGACAGTTGTGCCTGACGCAACTTTACAGGCCATTATTGTCCATAATACGAATAATTGGCTAGTACGATCACCGAGTGAAAATAATGTTTAGCGATTCTCCGTAGTGTTAATGCAATGCAATTCACGGAGGGACGAGAACACCTAGGACTGGGATACCTCTCAACAAACCCGAACGTAACTTTTTTTTTTTTTTTTTTTTTTTATGAGAAGGCAAAATGAGGTGAATATTTAAAAGAACCTGAGCGTGACCTCCTAAAAAGCCTTGTCGGCCCCCGGAAGCTTCGTGTTTTATTCCTCGTTAGCTTCCTTTTCATTTCTCTTTCTGCCTTCCATTTTCCCGCCAGAAGGCCCGCTGACAGCGCGGATGCATCCGCTGTCAGCGGATGCATCCGCGCTGTTAAAAACAACGACAATTCCCTTTGCTATAAAATAGATTTAGTAAGTCCTGGCATCCGATTGCATGATCTACTACCCCAGTGTAGAAGGCACAATATTCCCAAACGTTCAACTTCGATAGTCAGATCAATATTGTTTTCACTGTTAACTATGTCATTAAACAATCCAGAATATCCAAAAATAAAATTCAAGGCTGTGTAAAACAAAACGAACACACATGTTCTTAAAACCCAGTCATGGGCGAATAAGAAAAAGAAAGAAAATTGTCGGACAATCCGCGAGTTAAAACGTTTCTCACGAAGCAGTTCTCAAAACTGCCTTTTCCATACTACAACACACCCTTCATACTTCAAGCCTGGTTATGATATCCAGAGTGGCTCTAACTAATCCACATCCGTTGAGACTTTTGAGCATAGAGTATATTCGGAGTACGGTACATATTTCTGTTTTCTTTTTAAGTTAGTCTGACCGCGTTTTAAATTAAGGAAAGCTTCATCAACACAGCTACTTATCTGTTATACTGCTAACTGCGTGACAATACGAGCACCAAGAAACCGCAATATTTACCTGCCAATGGTGGTCCGATCATGCAAGCTGCTCCTCTGCACAAGCTGAGCAAGCCAAAGGAGTTGGTGAGATTGTCCAATCCGAACAGCTCGACCAGGATAATCGAGGTCAGCAATATATATGCGGCTGCAAATAGAACGGACGCAATGGTCAGGAACTCGGTGCATGGAATATCTCGAAAATTTCAGCAGATATGCATAAAATGTCAGAGTGCACAGCGCGCTGTTAAGAGAGAAAAAGGTCAATATAAATTACTGCTTCAACCCTAGAAAAGGGGTGCAGGTCACACGCCCGTCGACACGTTGGATAATAGAAATAAAATACGGAGAAAATAACTTCACGAAATCATACATAATTTGCCGATGTTATCACGTGCAGCATTGTAGCCACGCAAGTTGTAGAGAAAATCCCTTCTAGGCTATTAGACTTTTTTTTTCGTATTTAGTTAATAAAGGGATACTGAACCAAAATTTCTACCTCACAAAACAAGGCTGAACAGACAGGCGGGGCGCAGCAAAACCCCAAAACATCACTCATACAGCGATATCTCTAACGGATCGCAGTATTTTTAGAAAAGAAGTGCGCTATTGAATACGGCCGACGAGAAGTCACGTCACGATTATCATTCCCTCTTCTCCTCCCTACGTCCCGTCAAGCTTGTGAACCGAAGCAAAGAGGAGAGAATCAAGGCCGCTTCTCCTCATCCTCACATTTTCCAGGGGGACAATGACGTCATAGCCCTCGCTTGACTGCGCCCTTTTTTTCCAAAAGTACGACCATCCTTTAGAGATATCAATGCATGAGGGATGTTTTGAAGTTCAAAGTATCCCGTTCAACGCTTCCGCGGCCTTATTTCGCGAAATCCTTACAGTATCCCTTTAAGGCATAGACAATTAAGCACGAAAAATATACGTATTATGTAAAGAACCCAAGCTGTCGCTCGACATATATCTTGAACTGATGAGAAACCAAATCGCCTAAAATGATTTCTTTTTAATTTTTGTAATCTTTCATTAAATACTACTTACCTACAATGCTTCCAAAGATCATGCAGGCAGCAACAGTCGCTGAGTATGTGTAGCAGAATGGCATCAGGAACACTGCGACCCCGCTGAAGCAGAGCGACAAGTTGTTGAGCAGGAGGCAGTTGATCTGCGGGAGGTCCGAGAGCCATCCGAACAACAGACGGCCCATCATGTTGGTGATTCCGATGAGCGAGAGCAAGAAGGCGGCCTTGTCTTTGTCAATCCCCTTGAGCACGGCTGAGTCTGCGATGTACATGAAGGGGATGCAGAAGCCCATCATGCCGACGATGTTGGATACGCAAATGAGAGCAAACGCCGGATTCTTGAGCAGTTCCATGTCCAGCATCTCAGAGAGCGTGTCGGACATGCTGCCGGGAAGTCGGAGACACGGTGGACAAATGCTCACTCCGGGCTTCCCATCCGGGAGGTCCACACCACTGGCTGCTGGTACGTTGTCCGCCGGAATCGTAAGTACGCTGGCTACGTAGGAGCGGACGTCGCCCTGGGACAGCCGATACTCTGGCAAGTTGATGACGCTGCCGCTGTAGAAGATGTCCTTGCGGTACATTGGCCTGGCGATGTCCTTCTTCTTTGATTTCTGCATCTGGCGCGGGCCGCCGGCGACAGTCTCCTGGGAGATCCGCTTCCAAACCTCTCCCGAAGTGGTGTACCGACTGTGCCTGCCGGACGAGTAGACGTAGCCGCTCGATGACATTCGGGGTGACGAACAGTTGCGACGCATCTCCGCGCCGACGGTGATATTGGAGAGACAGAGCTTGGTTGCGCTCTTGGACGAGATAATTCCTTTCCTTTTGGCAAACTCCTGAATTGCAGACATTGGGGGTCCTCCGTTCAGGACATGGCCGTTGGGAGGCGGCTGCGGCGTCGAGTTTGGCGCTGGGTTTTCTCCTTCCGAGTTCGGAATCATCACCGTTGTCTCCGTGATGGGCTTCTCTTCCTCCTGTGGCTGATCGGGCTCCTGCTTTTCTGGTTCATCAGCAGGCTTGTTCTCTTTTCCAGAGTCCCCGGATTCTTCGTTCTGGTCTTCCTTGGAGCCCATGCGAGACGGTCGGGACTCTTCGATGGGCGAAAGGGTGATGACGGGGGTATCCATGGGTGACTTCCCCCATTGATCTAGGTACAACGTCGAGTGGACACCAGGCTCCGTGTTCAGGTGCAGCTTCTGTCTCTTTTCGATCGTTCCGTCCGCGTGCTGCACGAGGAAGAACTGGCTGTTGCAGAGCGAGTCTTGCCGTTGGCGTTCTTTCTCCTCCCAAATTCTCTGAAGGAGCGGTTTGGTGTGCGGATTATCCGACGCCAGGAGGGGCCGCATCAGGGACCCGAAGACTGCGCAGTTGAGGGACAGTCCAGCGAGTATCATGAGTGCCCCTTTCCAGCTGAAGATGCTCAGAAGGTACTGGCAGAAGGGGGCGAACACGAAGGCGCCCATGCCGGATCCACAGACGGCGATTCCCGTCGCCAGGGCGCGCTTCTTGGAGAAGTACTGGTTCACGCTGACGATGGCAGGCAAGTAGACGAGCCCGAATCCAATGCCTCGATAAAGAAGAGACACGCACGATCTTGCACAACAGCCCTTCGGAAGAAACGTTTGGACAAAAAGAACACTCTCGTAAAGCCACCCCGCCGTATCCAACTGAGCGTCCTGTCTCCGCGAACTGTATTGTCCTGCACGGACAATATGAGCTAAAACACTCCTTGATGCCTTTTTGGCCTAGCTGCCAGTTTTTGAGAGAGCTGCAGCTTGAACTAGGAATAGAATGCGAAGTTGAGGTCCCACACTTCGGAGTATTTGACAAATTGACAGATAATAAAGCTTGTCGGGACCGCAAGCACAGAAAAAGCTGGATCAATCAGGTGTTTCCGCTCATAATGTCCGCGGGGCTACAGTGCAGAAGATACCTGAGGGCACACTTCCCTGAAACACGCCAAACAGACCAAGTCACATCATCGTGGAGTTTAATGAGGATGCCTTTTTTAAGATAAAAGATAAGTCAGTCAGAATGTTAGAGTGGATATTCTGTTTGAAGTCAAAGAACTACTTTTTTTACTGATTTGTTTCACACTAACGTATACAAACAGTTTTTCTAAGACGCGGGTCCAGAAGTCTACTAAGAATGTACTGGTTGTAATGGTGGCTCTTCTTCTGCCGCTTTTATGTTTTACTATTTACTTCCTTGCCGGCGCAAGCACTTCACGGGTGGTGACGGGGGAGGGGGAGGGGCTTGGGCTATTTTTGGGTGCAGTGAGAACTCTACGGAGTTAATTTTGCACTGCAAAGCTGGAGCGAATTAAGGGACAGCTGTTTAAGGTATTCATGGAACAACAGAGAGTTGTACCCTCAGGCACTTCTTCGATCATACAAACGTGTACCATAACAAAATTCCAATCTGCATATTTCCTGCAAAGCACAAAGCTCGCACATCACTGCATTCGATGGAGAAAAAAAGCGCGGTGAATTGTTAAAACCAAGCAAAGCGTTGTTTTTTTTTTGTTTTTTTTTGGTAATTTGTTTTGGGATTATATAGCTTCATGCGAATTCTTTGAAAGTGTGTGGAAACACCAGCTCGGAGCACGTGGAGCGATAGCTCGCGTTGCCGATCCCAGGACCCTGGGTTCAATCCCCGCCCCTGCGCATTTCGATCTGGATGAGCATCGTACCGGCATGCGGTCGTGTATCACTACTGCGCGGTGCACATTAAAGACCCCAGGTCAGCGGTTGTACCGCACTGGCTAAATTGCTCATCGACAGCTGAGACACCAGATGGCCATTGGGACAGACTAACTTCCGGCTGTATAAACATATACACAGCAATCTGCTTTTGTTGAGAGTGTGTCTGAACCTAACGTGCATGGGAATACACCACATATTATCAGCGCAGTGAATAACACGTTGGACAAGCATCAAAGCGTCGCTATTTCCCACGCTTCCTCCGTTGATCGGAATAATTGGCACTCTGCCCTTTTCGTGACGTGTTGGGCGTAATAGCCCAAAGGTACCGCATTTTACGGGCTGTAGTCAGCGGACTATACAGGTTTCGGAGTTTAAATTTTACTCGGTGCGGACATATTTTAGGTGCCGACAATAGAAGGATCTATTTTCCACTAGTCTATGTTTAGTACGACGAGACGTGACGAATGTTGAGACTGATAGAGTATGTTAATGATGATTTATGCTTAATATAATCTTATTTTCGAGCTACTTGAGCAGACATTTGTCAAAGTGTGCTGTGTTAAAAAAAAAAAAAGAAAAAGATAATTTGTTGACTAGGCACCCAATGCAACCTAACCCATTATTGTTATTTTTTTTACAATAAATTATTTTCTTGGATCATGTTAGCTGGGAACTAAAGTGCCTAACCGACGTTAGGCACTTTAGTTTCCGGAAGTGCCTAACGTCGTTAGGCACTTCTGGAAACGAAACTAAAGTGCCTAACCGACGTTAGGCACTTCCGGAAAAATCAGCTGTTTGACCCCCCCCCTAGCCTTGCTAACATTAGAATTGTCTCTACACATTTTTTATCGGAGGAACCATACTAAAAAAAATAGGCTGCCCGCGAAGCGTTACTAGTTTCCCATTTTGTGTGGTGAATGAAGATACGTCTATGTGCATTCAATGGCGGTTGTTCGTTATTTTATCAAAACGTAAACGTTTCGAACGTAAAACGTGACGCGTTTTCCTGGGACAACCAAATCATAAAAAAAAAAAAAAACAATTACGCAACATATGAGCTATGCGTGAAACCCGATTTTGAGGCCGCAGACTATAGGTGCAGGACCACTCCTTTAGTAGGATCGCTGGCAAATAATTGCAGTTCGGCAAGTACAAACACGCTGGTTTAGCGGGAGAGCAAAGTAGTTTACGGATACTCCTATCCTAAACCACTTAACGGGTTTGAGATGCGAGGTGAATTTGAGCGTTTCCAACTAAACATATCTTCTGGGAAAGCACGAGAAACTGAGCCTAGAGCAGTAAATACATTTCTGAAGAAACTCTTCAAATAATGTTAACTGTAAAAATACAATAAAACCAAAACTAACTCGCAACCTCACAATCCGCCATCTTGCCGTGACGTCAGATGTTTTTACAAACATCAGCACATGGGCAGATTGGACCTGTTTCGGCCAGCACCAGAAGCCGTCAGAAGGCCGTCGCGGTCGTCCGTAGAAAGCAATTGAATACAATTCATCGAGCTTGTGCGAGTCAAGCAATAAGCAGATATGTTTCAAGACGACTCGCCGGTTTGCATTTGATCCGCCGTTATCACCTCCAAGGGGACCACCCGTGCCGGCTGCATTCGCGATCTGTCGATATGTGTGCCCCGGTGATGTTTCGGGAGCAGAATGATACCGAAATTTTTTGTTCGCTATCACGGTGCAAACTGTTCGCTAGCACGAGCGTTCGCGTCGGACCTTCGGACCCCTCTTCCGTCGCAGATACCTCTCGGTCAGAAACGGATGAGATGTACCTCTGCTGCATTTTTTCGTGGTGTTATTGCACCCCACAACACAGCACCAATTCGCTCCACCTTTCCATGGCATATCGCAAATAGCTGAAACCAGACATAACCCGCAAAAGTGCAGGCGCTCACTATCACTACAACGCACAACTCCGCAGAGGAGCGAGTGTCTGCTTTCGGATATAACATCTGACGTCACGGTCGATCCTATCGCCGCTACTGCTCCGTGTTGCCAGTAGCGTGGCAGTCAGTGATTCAGAGGTGTACGCGTAAACTTAAAAAAAAAAAATGTTTTCCTAAAAGAAAATTAATATTTTGATGAGTTTTCTCGCAGACATAACAAAAGGGGGATATTTAGCGCATAGTGTAAGTTTTATAAGAATCGATGACTATCAATATTTCGCCGGAAGAAATGCATTTTTAGTTCACACAAACGTCCGAGGACGAAGGCAGACTGACCTTGCTTTTTCGTTATGCTGACTCTTTTAAAATAGCTTTAAGCAGGCAGTCCAACTGTGCAAAACTGATTTCTCGCGGTTCCACACACCTCTAGTGTTTCTCGGCAAGAGATCTGGAAACAATGGAAATGGGTGATTTTGATCCCGTGTTTTCGAACCTACTTTCATAATATTGTTTTAAGACCGCTAGGCACTGTCAATATATGATTCACTCGACAAGGCTGGCGATCAAAGCTGCCGCTTCAACTTTCTGCTTTAGTCACTAGATTCCGTCGATTTCACTGGCGGAGTTCGCCAATAGAAGAGATCGACGTTACACGTGTTGGTCGAATCGCATTACTCGAGACCGGTTATAACGAAGTCGGTTATAACAAAATAGCGGCTACAGCGAAGCAGTCACGATTTCCCAATCCCTTTTTGCACTTTGTTATAACAAAAGTCGGTTATAACGAAATAGCGGATATAGCGAACTGATTTCCGATCCCCGTTGACTTGCGCCCGCATTTTTCTAGGATGACTACAATACTCTTTCGAAAGAAAGTATGAATGGGAAGAAGAAAGGCCCTTGCAGCCAGAGTGCTTTACCAGCCATCACTCCAAATGTGACCATGAGGCTGCCCACGTCCTGCACGATGGTGCTGAGCAGGAAGGCGATGCAGGACACGATACTCCCTCCGATGCAAACTGCTCGACATCCGAACCTATTCGTCAAGGCGCTCACCAGGGGACCTGCACAAGATGCGGCCACACCTTATTACAAGAGTGAGAAAAGGTATTCTGCACGTGAACTTACTTTTATGTGTGTCAACTGGTAATCTAACTGACACATAATATATACGTGTCTACCTTACCGCCCATGTACCTATTTTTCATCCCCAACCATCGTATACCTACTGCGTGTTTTTTTGTTTTTTTGTTTTTTTCATGATTTGGGGCACAGAACCATGAAGGCCCGATTATACTGTCAGGAATGTAGAATGGTAGACGAAATAAAAGCTGCAATATAAACTTTTAATGAGGCAAACTTGTGCCTACAAAACTTAGATCAAAAATACACCGCGCATCCTGCGGAGGCTACTGCCCCTTAGCAGCCCGTTGCCGCTGGTTCTATATTATTTATACAAGCGGTAAGTTCACGAGTGTTTGGAACCAAAACACACAATGACAGGCGAGACCGAGCTGGTACTTGCCAGAATTATAAAGGAAAGAACCGGGTCATGCGGGACTCGAACCACGTTCCTCCGCGTGGCAGCCGCTTGCGTTGCCAACTCCGCCACGCACGTCGTGGCGCAGTTGACGTCAAATACTTTTTAAGTATTTTGGCTCACAGATGACATCTGACGACTACCAAGAAAGATGTCTGGTGTAACCGATTCTACCAAGCAAGATGTCGGCTGTAAGAAAGATGTCGGTTGTAATCTGATCTTCTGTCGAAGCACAGCCGGCCGAACCGTAGTTATGCAAGCACTATGTCTGTCTTTTCTAGGAACTGCTACATCAGTTTGCAACAGGAAAGGTAAATAATATTATTCCTCTAAAATTGGGACTGCTGTACTAAAAGAAAATCGTGTTGCTAGGAAACGAAGACAAGAAGTAAGGTATCGATTCTGTGGAAATCTCAAAAAACAAATGGGCAAAAAAAACGTTTTTGCAAACTTGACCTTTCAAGACACTGTTCATTGGCCCTTTCGAAGCAACTTTCCTTTGACTTAATATTCGATTCGCCTAATGTTCCGTTTTATTTTAAATTGCGAGCTACAGTTGTACTTTACTGCAAGGAGGGACTTATCAAGTCTTGTTACACTTGGGGCCGACTTTCTGCGGCAATAAAGCGAACACTATGGCTTCCCGTACGTCCGGACACCTTGAGAGCCGACAAAACCTGAGCACGCGCACTCTTCACTTCTAAAACGCCACAGAAAGCTGACCCCGAGTCAGCGTGCATAGCTGAACATCCCTCCTGAAAGAGCCATTTGTACCAGAAATTCTTTTTGTCCAATAAACAGACATGAATCATACAAGATATATAAGAACATATCACAACCATTTAAGAAACTTAGAAGCGTCTCACAAGTTTCTTATATTGTTCTTATAGAATTATATAGTTCTTATATGGTTCTTATATGTTCTTATATATCTTGTATGATTCATATGTGTTTATTGAACACAGAAATGTCTCATACAAATGAGATTCTTCAATAGGGATGAACGGTGTCCGAATACCAAATTGTGAAGTGCAAATCAACCACTAGTATTAAGAATTGATTTCGAGTCAAATTTGAATATTGTTTTCACTATGAATATTTTGATTTTCATTTCAATTGTCTATTAAATGAAAAAAACATCTGAGACGCTAGTGTTCTAAAGAATAAGTCCTTGATAACACGAGTCGGATAAAACAATGTAAAATGGCAAGCAATAATAGACCGATCTCACTACGCGCTGGGCGCATGCGTGAAGCCCGCATAACTCTACTTCACAAGAGGCAGGCGGCAGTGCCTGAGACGCGCACGCGCAGCTTCACCAAGATTGTCGCACGTGCAAAAAGATTAAAGTTTCCTCGATGCATTGGGCAGCGATGGCGTAACCAAACTGGCCGGTGAGATCGGTCTATTACTTCCTCATTTATTCGAATATATGTTGATATCAATCTTTCCGAACTCTCCTCTAAAATTATAGCTATAACCCTAGCGAACTAACGTTCACTTCCAATAGTGAGCAAAATTTACATGTCGGTCGAACCAATCGAGATGTTCATTTGCGTCCGCCGATTCACCTTGGACGCTCGTCAAATGCGGTGAAGCTTACTGCAGGAAATCGAGAATGTTCGAATTATTGAAAATTAAACAATACCCGCCTTTTTTTTCGTAGTTGTTTTTTCCTTCTATTTCCTGTAACGTCTAATTTCGGCCAACACGCTCACCTCCTTCTTTGACGGAGACTTCTAACACTAAAAGCCTGCTGCGAATCAAAAAGAAACCTTAACATTATTCCTACATTATTCACAGTTTCGAATATTCGCCCACCCCCTGATCTAGTCAATTTTAGTCTGAAGGCGTTTGAAGTGCTCATTCAACATCGCTACAAATCTCCGTACAACATATTCGAGGTTTTTATAAAAAAAAAAAAAGTCTTACAATTTGCGACCTTTATTTCCTTTCCTTTTTTTAAATGTAAGCTGGCAACCTTGAGCGAAGGTAGATTTGGGAAAAGCGCATGAAAGAAACGAGAGCTGAAGCGGCATCATACGATATGGAATATCGCTGCACTCTTCGTAATCATTGACCGCGGTCTCAGCGCGCTCTCACCAAAGAGAGAGGCGCCAGAACTATTCAAGAAATGAGGGAAATGTGTGTGTGTGGGGGGGGGGGGGGGGGGGATTATCCATCCTTTTCATCTTTTGATGTATTGTGGAAATAACTATTCGTTTTTGTTTTTATCTGTGACATTCCTGCCCGGAGAGCAGCGTGGGCGGCCCTCTTACCGGCGCTTAGGTAGCAGCCAGACAGGAGCGATCCCACCCAGGCGACGGTTCCCTTGGGGGCCTTAAAGTGGTCCACGAACTCCGGGAAGAAGATGCCAAAGGTGTACGCGATGCCGTCCACCACCATGTTGCAGAGGAAGGACGCCGCCACGATCATCCAGCCCCAGCCGCCGTCCGGGGGCTCCGGTATGGCCGCGTAGAACTCCGGGTCGATGGCGTCGTCGACGCCCAGGTCGTCGTCGCCCACGCCGGGCACCGCGGAGGTCGAGCCCGGCGCGCCCGGCCCGACGTCCGACGGCGACGGCGGCGCCCCCGCATAGTTGGCTCCGGTGCACGGTTGGCCCAGTCCGGCCAAGCTGCCGCTCAGCGAACCCGACGACGGCAACTGGCATAGCGTCTTGGAGTCCAGCTCCTTGGACATCGACTCTGGGACAGAAGAGGGAACGACGCACAGACAGTGAGCCAAGGGCCTTGCGAGAACTCAACAATACGCGTTTCTGTAAGGTTCTTATACCGAGTTACATGGGTATCCTTAACCGCAGTTATCTGTGGTTGAGGTACGTACAACTCAAATGCCTTTCAATAAATACAAAAATGGTTAGAAAGGTATGGTAAATTTCACAGAGGTATAAGATACACATAAAACGTGAAAGTTTTGAGGCAAACTCGAGGACAGTGCAATTAATCGAATGGGGATCTGCTTATATCTACAAAGTAATAAAAATCGAAAATGAGGCTTTCACTGGCTGATATTAGACCAGTCAACCATAATAGCTTAGGAAAAAATTGAAGAAAGAATAAGAAGGTAACTCCCCTGTAGTGTCATCCATCTCGTAAATTTTACAATGGTAAAACGGGTTAATGCTGTGAAGAAGTACATTGCGTTTCCTATAGTTTCATTCGCGTAAAGGGAAATAAAGACGACCCTGGCATTTCTTGGGCAAAAGCGAAGGAAAGGCCATGAAAGAGGAAAGCGCGCGCAGCAGCCATACCAGGGGCTTGTGATTTAAAGATGGTGCGCATTGTGTAACTTCCTACGCTTCACAAATGTCCAATAGTTCTTGGCAGGAGCACCGTACGACAAAGTAACTGTCCTTTATCGTGCACTCCAACATCGCCTCTTTGCCTTTCATTCTTTTTCTTCACTTTTTTTTTTCTTTCTTCCGTTTGCTTTGTTGAGAGGGCAGAATATGTTCAAGATGTTGGGAGCACGCGTTACCTAAACGATAGCGTTCAAACTCGCTTTTTTTATTATTTGAGTGTTTTTCTTGTACCTCGCTGTTCAGCATATCCGAGCTTCCGTCCAATAATATTACTTACTACCTCGATGCAAGTGAGATAACCATTTCGAGGGCTTAGCCCATCCTTTTCCAAGAAGACCGGTATCTCGATTGCAGTATGCATGAAGAGACTCTCGAGCAGTAGGACAGAAAAGAACCAGGGACTCGTTGTTATCTCCGATGTTCTGTCAGCGAGCCCCGTTAGGCAAACTAGGCCGATAAGGCCGAGAGAAAGAAAGAGCGCGCATTCTGGAGCGGAGCCGTAATCTCGGTCGGAGGCGGCGCTCAAGTTACCCCAGCCTCCATTCGAGTGTCTCTTTCGAACATTGTGAAGCTTTACACCGCCAAAGTCCGATCCAAAGATACCAGCGCTCGCAACGACGTTTTATGCCGTGGGAACCACGTTTTCCTCCGATTCCTATCTAGGCCTAGCGTATATGCAGGCCGTGGGCTCCGTCCCGATGCTCGGATGCGAGAGGAGACCGTACGCAGACTTGTATACGTAACGCGTTGTCAGTAGGGCGTGATTTGTGCTTACTCACTTCATTCGGTAACGAGGTAACAACCTTGTTACGCTTTAAGAGAATGAACGAAGAGCATAGCTTTGTTACCTTTCGACGAAGTAACGAGTAAAGGTATTTAGTTTCTTCTGGAGGGGAACGTGTACAACACAAGTACGCAGCCTAGTTCTTACCCCAGCTCACCCCTGAAATTTGGACCACGCAAACGATGTGCATCAGGTATGTCAGTATAGCCACAGTTATTCCCGAATGAACCCGTTAAAGAGCGAGGAATCATCAACAACGATCAATATTGGTAACGGCTACTGTTTCATAAAAATGACATAATCAGAATAACGAGAAAACAACGCGTTAGATGCAAGCTTATGAAACCTGTTCCTTTTGAGTCCGAGTAACAAGCAACGTACTTAGGTTACTTTTTGAGTGAGTAGAAAGTAACAATATTCAGTTAGTTAATTTCAGTAACCTGTACATGTGTGATCATATGATCTCTAGACCCTAGTGAAAAATCTTATTCGTATAAGAAATTCCTTGGTCCAATAAGATCATATAAGAACATGTAAGTAAATATAAAAACATAATATATAAGAAACATATAAAAGGTTTCTTATAGCTTCTTATATAATCATATATCCTTCATGTACATTCTGATACGGTCCTTATATGATCTTATTGGATCATATACGCTTATTAGACCAATAAATGTTTTATACAAATAAGACTTTTTACTAGAGGACAGCTCCCCTCGGCCTTTCGGGCGATCAGCCACCGGCACACCCTTCGGGAACCTTCTTCCTTGAACGCGTTGATTTTCCGCAGGCTACGTAAGCCGGTCCAAAACAGTGGCCGGGAAGTTCCATCGGGATAGCGCCTTGATCAACGGAGCTCGGTTCCTTTTCGTGGCTCGTCTTATTTGGTGAACCTGCCGATTGCTTCAGTGAGGAGGTCCAAGCTGTGATCCTGTAAACTGAGGCAGTGCCGATACTGCAGACATTATTGAGGGCAAACCGTTTAAGAGTATCAAATCAATAAACACGTATTTTCAGAACTTCCTGCGTTGCTGCCTGTTTTCCCCCACGGCGAACTTCGAGGCAGCCATTGGACGGTCCCACCGTAACCGCCAAAGAACCGCGCTAAGGAGTGGCTTTGACAAAGCACAGTCTGGGTAATAAAGAACCCTACTATAGAGTACGTGTCGATTTTCATTAGTAGCATCGCTGCATGGTTCACAATCGTAAGCCCTTGAGAGTCGCGATGCGGCTTTACGGCCAACGCAGGAGTTTCTGAGTTCCTCAATGCGCACGACGTCGCAATGAGTTGGGAACATCGATCAGTGGTCGTTCCTTCTTCAGGTCGAACAATTTTACGTGAGATCCGTATCATGCTCCTACAACCGTGAGTTCTCATCGGTAAAGGAGTCTGCTCACCCTTCGCAATGGTTGAACCGATTAAATGATATTAATAAGCAATAGTCCGGTCTTGCCGTGTATCCAGGCAGAAGAGTGCTTCCGACTTAATTGAAGTTTTTCAAATATTCACGAAACTGAGCAGTTGGAAGCGATAGGTTGGCTGCTATTCTCCAGAAATGGCGCCAGATATCATTTTAAACGTTTTATCTCCGTCGGAGAGAGCGCGCAGAAAATAGTGCGCCGGTCGAGGGTAGTCGTTGTTTAAATCATACTAAGGATAGTCGTTGTTTAAATCATAGCCTATTGAAACTATGTATTCATTGAACCTGACGCGGGAAGGCGCCACACCCCTCCCCCCCCCCCCCCCCAAAAAAAAAAAAAAAAAAAAAAACAACATAACGCGTTGTTTTGTGGTTTTTTTCTGTGAAGGCTGTTTTTGTCCTTTAGAAGCCCTGCGCTTCCTTTTTTCGTAAATCGTTACGCTTCACGTCTTGATGATCTTAGAACGCAGCCTGTGCACTGCACATTATTAATGTTCGGACTTGGTAACTTTACGTGGCGAGAAGCGGCTCTTCAATTAGACAATGTTGCGATACAAGTAGATAGATCTACCTTTCGATAACGACTGCAAAGATGGCCGTCTTTCAGCTGTGCCCGAGCCCGTCGCTCAAAGGAACCAATTGGTTTGCATGTTTTGCAGGGGCAGAACTACGCTATTATGTTGCGCCCGGTCAACCCGGCCACTAAAAACACACTTTTTGGCCGATCTGTCACTTTACTAGGTGAGACAATTTTCCTGGCTCATTTCGCGGTGTTTCGGTTCATTAAGAACAAGGGCAATGACCCAAGATATTGGAAGCAATAATGCAACAAGAAAATGTTGCCAGATGAGGATGTCAGCATCAGGCACGTAGCCAGGGGGGGGGGGGGGGAATGGGACTCGGCCGCCCCCCCCCCCCCCCCCCCCGAAATCTTCCATTTTGCTGGGGCTTCTTTCCCCCTCTCCCTCATACAACATTTTGTCATGGGCGCCCTCCCCCTCCCTCCCTCCCTCCCTCCCTCCCCCCCCCCCCCCCCCCCCCCGAAACGAAATCCTGGCTACGTGCCTGGTCAGTGTGCATAACAAATCTGAATAGTCTAGCATACAAGTCTAAAGTGTGCTTCATGCTGCTGTTTTCCAGACCAAAATACTCATTACTTCTGGAGCTCCATGCGATGTACGCTGATCAATTAATACAAAACCTTCGGTTTTTTTTTTTGGTTTTTTTTGTCGAGACAAATTTAATGTAGAGTTCATACACACCAAACGCGCACAAAAAAAAAAAAAAAAAAAGAACATAAACAAAATTGTTTGTGGTTGGTGTTTGATAACTTGGGAGGTGTACGCGCCACTCGTTGTTTGGTATGAAATGATTCCCCCAGTAAAGAACACTACAATTTTTTTGAAAACACAGAAAGGCGCAAAAAGCCCACACCCTCAAAGTAAATAAGAGAAGGATTTATGTGTGGGTATTTACGAACAGGGTGCACCACGTTCAAGCGGCTTTCTCGATCTCTCATTTTAATTACAAAGCACAGAGTGCAAGTCGCGACCCGAATAAGCTTTAAATACGCGAATGTAAGAATTGCGGTGAACGCAAGCTTCTTCAATTATTCACCAGTCAGATAAACAAGCAAAACCAGTTATCCTTCATAGCTTCAATATTTAAATCGCAAGCACTACCGAAAAATCGATAGAGAGATTACTGCATGCAAGGTCATTCGTAAAAAAATAAAAAAGATAGTATGTGATAATAGCGGCGTTATATAGTCCGTCCAAAATCGAAGAAAGTTCTTTACAAGAAACGTATCCTTTAATACGGTTTCCGTACGACGTCGTTAAGTTTATGAAAAATAATAATTGATACTGAAGGAGAAAAAACTGTTTTGATTTCATTTTCACCCCAACGAAGCAAAATTTTGGCGTCCCTCAACAGCAGAAAGTGAGGAATCTATCGTGTCAGTTTGCTGACCGAGAGCAAACAAGTTCAATTGCAACTGTTTCAAAGTTCAAAAAGGAATACAGCTGTCTCTGCTCCAATGCAGTCTTTCGTAAGGGTCCTGCCAAAAACCTATTGGAAGTATTCCTTCCAAAAGATTTCAAAAAGAAAAGACAGTGAGTGGCCTTTGAAAGGCGCAAAAGGGCCAACTACATTTATCTTCACTTGCACAGAAAG